ACATTATACACATGGTTCATCTAAATAATTTAAGCAAAGAAACAAAGAACACCACTGTTTTACAGCAATCCCTAAGAGCACATATATTACTCACACACACGCAGACATACATAGGATGAGCTGATGTTTGCTGCCAGGGAGTTAAGACATGAATGAAAAGATTCATTACCAAAATTTTGGTCGAGAGCAGGAAAATTGTAGAAAACATATTAGAGTACAAAGGAAGGATAAAAAAAACATTGTTAGTTTGCACTGAGTACACTTCAGTGCACAAAGAATGCCATTTGTGTCAGTTTTAAAAGCATTAAATATATACAGTTTTGTTTTGTATGAAAATGGTGAGTACGTGAATTTTCTAGATACTTAAAATAAAAAGCAATATGATTATTACCATATATCTTATATAAGAAAGTGCCACTATCTGATTGCACGTGAAAAATATGCAATTACCATGCACATTACTTTTTGTTTTTGCTGGTATTTAGAATAGGCGTTAAAATCATGCTGCAAATGTGCACCAATTATGCAAGCACTTCTTTATCAAAAATGTATATTTAAGGGGGTTGGACTTTTATCAATGTTGTGACAAGCCCATCCACTTATGTCTTATTGAAGATCCTGATGGCTGCCCTGCTTGTACAGAACAGCTGTTCTCTTTTCCAATCCTCCTGGAGAGGTTATTATGGGTCACGCTATTTCACATGAAATTAAAAAAAAATATATATATATATATTTTTTTTTTTAATCTCACGACTGGATACACAGAAATTGAAATTCATTTGCAGGCATCTCATATATGGATTTCATTTGCGTATTTAGCCTTTTGCCTGGTTTAACAGGTAAATAGGGAATTTAACAGCAATGCAGATAAAGTAGCAAATAGCTACATTTTTCAATTTTTAACCTCCCTCAATTTAATCAGAAATTATATATCTAGTTATAAAACACAGGAGAAAAATCTAACTAGCTTTAGTCAAAAGTGAGAATGGTTATAAGGGGATGGTTTAGGAATTCTTAACACCTAGAAATTTGTTCCAAGCAAGGTTTTCCTACACAGGGATCAAAAAATTTCACAAGAACAAAAATAATAGAGAGGAACTAGGTACCTCTAGGTAAAAAGAAAATTATTATTTCTGCCTTAATTTCATACAGGCATATAGCAGGTTTCATGGGTTTGTAAAAACTATTTTTGATATCTAAACCTGAAGCATGTCATTGGTGTCACTGCAGAGAATGGGCATTCATAGAAAATCCAAAAACCATTGGGTATTGTAAGCTGGTGATGCCCACAGGGCTTATTTTTGCACATGCAGCTTTGAAAACAAAATATATCATAATTTCTCTATCAACCTAAATTTTACGGTTCTATTTCTTGTACAGATCAATTAAATTTGATAATATATTGCGCTTTCTGCCCTCAATTTCCTTAATTTGAAAAAGAAAAAAGTTTTAGATATAAATAAACACACATGTTTGAATACTTGTGCAGGCTTTCTCAAATATGTCTCTGTGTAGGTTATGCAATAAGTAATGTCACCTCTCTTCACGGTGTCTCAAAGACTTGCATTCCATTTCAAAGCTCACTTGACGAAACCTATTGGTTAGTAGAATTTGTATGTTTTTTTAATAAATCCTTGTATGGCTATAAATAATAAAAGTTAAAAATTAAAATTAAATATTTAGCATCTTCCATAATGGTAATACAAATGAACAGTATTCCAGTTAAGAATAATGCACATTTTATATGAGTTAATGTAAATGTTTGAAAAAGAAAGGATTGCTAAATACAAAGCACAGTCTGCAAACTCATACTCAAAACAAAGAAAGAATGATAAACAGCAGCAACTAACCTTAATTTGAGAATATTAGAAATTTAAAGGGGAAACCAATTTTTTTTTCACAAAAATAAGAATAACTGTATTGCAGTGTGTGGCTTACATATTAAAAATGGTTTGACCTATACAAACAGAAGCTATAACTAAAATCTTGTTAAATAGGGTATTAAGAGAATTATGTTGAAGTGCTGTAAAAATGTTTACAAATATAGGTCATACTGCTTCCATGCAAGCAGCAGTACACTTGCACATATATATGGCTGGACGGAGAAAAGGATATTGCTGTACTAGCACCAGGGAATTATAAAAATTATTGCATACATCCTTTTCTTTGAGGTCTAGATGTAGAAACCTTAGATAGTGCACTCATGCCCCAGTATGAAGGAGCTGTAATACAACCAATGTCCCAATTTTGTACATAGAGCTCATTATGGGAGCAAGATTTTTTTTACTGAAGGCCATGTATACAGCACATGAAAAATATTTCTTTAGTGAGGATGTTTCCAACCTCTGCCCGTATGTGATAAATGTTCAAATACAGGAAATGTGGATTAGCCAGGGTCTGAAAAAGATTACTCTGCATCATGCTCAAGTCTGGTTTGGTTTTCCCGTATTCCAATAGATCTCTTAAATAACAATATACGTTTAAGTGATGCTATTCATCGACTCATTTCTTAAGGATTCTGTGTGTGTCTGCCAGTTAACCCTAAGCAGATTTTGTGTACAGCTCATCAACAGCAACCTAAAAAAACAGTACATTGCAATAGCAGGGTGATAAAAATGGGAGAAGAGGTATTTAAAAAAAATTAACAAAGGATTCTAAAAGTAAACTGGAGATCAAATTTTTTCTTGCTACTTTACTAGACAAGATAACTGCAGGCTACAGAAATCCAAGCCCTGCTTTTCATATAACAATAAGAAAGCATTGGGGATATTAAATAACCTGTCTAATAATTCAGGGAGCTGAATCTTTTAAGGAGACAAGTTATAAGAGGCATTGAGGATTCAAAGGACCTTTTCTATGGGAAAAAAAAAAAAAAAAAAAATACTTGTTGCTTGCCCTTCGTGCTGACCCTATTGCATTTGGTCACTCACCTGAAGCAAGTGTATACTGATCAGTATTTCAAACTTTCCTGATGTGCATACTTTATTCAACCAAAACGTTAAAGTTATTGAGTTGGTATAACAGTCAGCTACCATTTTCAAGAAATCAGCACTGCCATTCCACTGTACCTCTCTGACAACAGATTTGCTTTAACAAACTTTAAATTTGTTCAAAAGATTATGGGTTATATAAAAGGGTTGCGTTAATCTTTTTTTTTTGGCTAATGGCCACAGGCATCCCTTAAAACACTACTGTGACATACCTGCCTTGTGATGATGTTACTATATAAGAGGTTTACTTAGATTACATTAAGATTGCTCTTATTCATGAAAAAGGGCACATTTTCAAAGCAGGGGAACTTCTCATTATCAACTATAGTTTACTTGAAAGAACCCCCTATTTAGTTCATAAAGTGCAGATAATTAAAAGTAGGGAAAGTACAGCAATATTTCAGCAACACTCTGAAATAATGCTCCATTTACATCTCGTGTAGTGGGAACTGCTCTCAATATTGTGTCTGCATGATTTTATACACTATTCCATGTGCTGCACATACAGCAGCCCATTCACTTTAATGGAGTGCACTATGTGCCTTTGTCACTCAAAAGAAGATCATACATCATTGGGTGACAAGCTTCACGCGATTGCCACACGATTCTGTCCAATGACAATCGCAGCAAAATCGCATCGCATTTGGGATGCCGTTAAGAATGAATGACACCCAAACACGCATATTGCAGTTTCCCACAATTTGGAATCAGTGAGTTCAAATCACCAAGTGTGAATGGGGCCTAAAGTGTGGACATTTAAAAGATAAAATATGTGAATTCCTGAAACAAAGAGAAATATCCCTAAAAAGGTCAAGAACTGCAGAAGGATTTACATAGTGAGGTGCCTCTAGAGTAACATCAGTAAAATATAATAGACTCCTAAAGTTAACAAGTATGTTAAAAAGGGGAGACAAGAAAAGTGGTTTAACTATTCAGTTTACTAATTGAGAAATGTGTTCCATAACTATTCTGTATTTTTGTGAGAGATTGGCACAGTAATATGAGGTAGTACAAGATGCTGAATTCAATTTCATTCAAATGTTCCTGCTGCCCACAAAAATGATGGCTGTCATTTTGTAGGGTCATCTAATTATTTCAGAAAATTCAGTCTGAGTGAAAATAATAGAATGAATTTTGGTCAAGCTAACAAATGGCTGGCTTAATTGTGTGTAAGGGACAGGAGCACTTCAACATTAAAGAGGCACTGCACTTTGCCCATGGGGGGTAAATTGAATGTGCCTGCAGATAGCTGCCCCCAGGCTTATATACACGCTTCCCAAAATACTGGAGCCCTGGCTAATGGAGCAGGACTTCTCGCATTGGAACTCAGACAGTCTTTGATGCCTCAGCAGGGAGTGGTTTGGGAGTGTACCCTCTGATTGGCTGCAGTAAACCATTTTTGCTCTTTTACTGCCTTCCTTAAAGGCAGCAGAGTTAATTAAAAGTGACTGAACAGTAATTTGTACATTTGTGCTATTTTAAAAGACAGGATATGAACTGCTCTATATATTGTCAATTGGTACATAAAAATACAGATAAAAAGCATTGCTCTCATAGAAGACATCTGACAGAATTTGTGATTTTAGATGTTTTGTTAGTACAAAGCAAACATTTAAAGTCATCCTAAACATTTGTTCAATTCCTCTTAACCTATTTACAAAATAAATCGATAGCCACCCCCCTTTCCCTCAAAAAAAAAAAAAAAAAAAATCCATAATCTTCAGAATTAGGAAAAGGAGTCTGAAATGTTGCTGTAAAAAGAACTCACAATTGTGTTACTCGGAAAATGAGTATACTTTTCTTCTTGTGATTTCTGTTCTGCTTAACAGTCGTCAAAACTTTTATCAATATGACTCTCAGGTATACAGGAGCGAACCTTCTCCTCCTCTGTGATTATCTTCAGGGTTTGACAGATCACAAAGTCAGCTCAATAATAGTTACCATTCTGAAAGAATGACACTGTCCTTTAATTGTACTTCTGGCAATTCAGTCCAACTGATGCATCTTCTATTACAGAAGGATCTGAGCAACATATGGAGAGTGGGTGCTGGCAATAGCGGCAAGCAAGGGAAGATCGCTTGATTCAATTCTACAACGAAAAAAAAAAACAAAAATCACTAAAAAGAAATCTGACCATCCAAGCTCCAGCTTAAAATTAAAGGACTCATGTACACAGACGTAATAAAAATGCTGATATTTAGAAAAGATATTGTGGCGGAAAAAAACAACAACAACGTGTAATGGCTCATAAAGTGTGTGTGTGTAAGTGTGTGTGTGTGTGTGTGTGTGTGTGTGTAAGTGTGTGTGTGTGTGTGTGTGTGTGTGTGTAACAGTCCCCCCCAATACGTACCTGAGCCCTTGGCTGTCCCAGGACTCTGCCTCCAGCATTGTCATTGGCTCCCGCTGCTGTCAGTCACAGCCAGTGAGGCATTGAGTAGATGGTACCGAGCCGTGGTTCCATGTGTGAATGAACAAATGGAGCAGCAGCACGGGAGCGTGCCTATTTTCAACACAACTATATATAGTTGTGTTCAAAATAAATAGCAGTCAGACATCACTAACCTGATCAATCACTGTTTTTGGTAGAAATGATATTTCTACATGACAAATAATTTACTAGCAGGTGTAGAAGAGTAATAGAAATCCAACAGACCCAACAGTCATGACATGCATGCTGCTGATTCTGTGTAATTGAATCACTAATTGAAAGAGGCATGTTCAAAATAATAGCAGTGTGGAGTTCTATTAGTGAGGTCATTCATTCTTTGAAAAACAGGTGGCAATTATTGCCCTTATTTAAGGAAAGAAGGCAGCAAATGTTGTACATGCTGGTTACAGTGCATTTCTCTCTGAAATTCTAAGGAAAATGGGTCATTCCAGACATTGTTCAGAAGAACAGCGTACCTTGATTAAAAAGTTGATTGGAGAGAGGGGAAAACATATAAAGAAGTGCAGAATATGATAGGCTGCTCAGCTGAAATGATCGCAAATGCCTTAAAATGGCAACCAAAACCTGAAAGACGTGGAAGAAAGCAAAAAACTACCATTCGAATGGATAGAAGAATAGCCAAAATGGCCAGGACTCAGCCAACAATCAGCTCCAGGAAGATCAAAGAAGGTCTAAAGTTACCTGTGAGTACTGTTACAATTAGAAGACGCCTATGTGAAGCCAAGCTATCTGCAAGAAGCCCCCGCAAAGTCCCACTGTTGAAAAAAAAGACGTGTGCCGAAGAGGTTACAATTTGCCAAAGAGCACACTGACTGTCCTAAAGAGAAATGGCGCAACATTTTGTGGACTGATGAAAGTAAGATTGTTCTTTTTGGGTCTAGTGGCCGGAGACAGTTTGTCAGACGACCCCCAAACACTGAATTCAAGCCACAGTACACTGTGAAGACAGTGAAGCATGGTTGCGCAAGCATCACGATATGGGGATGTTTCTCATACTACTACGGTGTTGGGCCTATTTATCGCATACCAGGGATCATGGATCAGTTTGAATACATCAGAATACTTGAAGAGGTCATGCTGCCTTATGCTGAAGAGGAAATGCCCTTGAAATGGGTGTTCCAACAAGACAACGACCCTAAACACACCAGTAACGGGCAACATCTTGGTTCCAGACCAACAAGATTGATATTATGGAGTGGCCAGCCCAATCCCCGGAACTTAATCCAATAGAAAACTTGTAGGGTGACATCAAAAATGCAGTTTCTGAGGCAAAACCAAGAAATAGAGAAGAACTGTGGAATGTAGTCCAATCATCCTGGGCTGGAATACCTGAAGTTGGTTGACTCCATGCAACACACTGCTATTATTTTGAACACAACTGTGTGTGTGTGTGTGTGTGTGTGTATATATATATATATATATATATATATATATATATATATATATATTATATATTTTATACACACACACATATACTGTATATATATATATATATATATATATATATATATATATATATATATATATATATATATATATATATATACACACACATACATATATACACACACATACATACATCTTTAGCGTCGCTTTAAAAGCAGAAGGAAGATCCAAGGAGGCAAGGCTTACTGAGCTGGCAGACTGCAGCAGTTTTGCACTGGTATAAGCCCTATGTCCTTGGCAGCAAAGGGGTTAATACATTCATCTTTATTACTGTAATCTAATAGTAGAGCATTCAACCTATACCACTTCAGTTGGGTACTGCAGCCTGAAGGTGGCAGTGTTCATCTGCTAGTTGAAGACTGTAATTTTTTCCCATTTAAGCCCATATCTTGCATGTAATCACTATGAAATAGTGGACACATGCTTGTGAACCATATCGATTCGTTCCTACTTTTCAGTGGAAACTTGAACAGTCAGTGGCAGCCCAGGCAGACAGGTAGCTGCCAAATGGGTGAATTTTTATAAACATATTGGTAGCATGCAGGCATCATGCTGTTAAGCCCTGCTTTTCAGTTTCTGAATGAGATCATTTCTAGAAAATCTTACCCTAGCACCATGCTTAACTCCTTCACGTGGACTCTAGTTTGTCCTTTCAGGTATTCAGACAACATTCGACTCTTGAAGTAAAGCTCCTGTAGCCTGTCCTCTAGATGCATGATACACTAGGGAAAACCAAACCACAGTAAATATTTTTGACCATAGCTCTATTATATAGGATATCACAGACTTGGCAGTTAGGAGGGACAAAGCAGACTTGGGTACAGTAATCTTGTATTGTATATTTTATGTCATTTCATCCATACATTTTCAGGAACAATACTAGTAAATCATTGTTTTAGAACTCAGATATATGCAAAATCATATCATTGCAGAAATCTGTGTCCAGAGAAAGCAAAACATTGACATTCAAAGGAAACAGACATTTCAACTAAATAAATTGAACTAGTTAACATGAACCTCTGCCCAGACTATGCAAACTTGAAAGTTGTCAGCCCTCTAATGTAAACACACAGCAGTTGTTTCTAAGCCGCCAATAAGTGACTGAAAACGGACTTCAGAGGTGGGATATTTTAGGATCTTTTGAAATGATTTACTTCACATTACATGCAGCTAGAGAGGAAGCCTGGGCCTGTTTTTTTTTTTATGGCATTTTACTTCTCGTTAGAAATATATAGATATGGTAATGTCCAAAGCCTGGGCAGAGGTGCACTTTAAAGCATAGGTACACCTTTACAACATGTTACACCTGTATTTAGGGTGTAACATAATATGCAGCTGGTTCCTCTCCCCTGCAGCCACTGTCACATTTGGTCCTCTTGCACACTGGACGTTTTTACAGCTGCTATTTTTGGCGGGTTTTTTTCTACAGCCAGTAAACTCCCCAGCATGTTATCCTATGTATCCATGCACACAGACTGTAATCAATGTTTTTGGCAGGGTTGTTTTTTGGCTGGAAAAAACCCCAGAACTAGTGGGCTTCTAGAGGAGTATTTTAGCTGTAAAAGCTGTTTTTTTTGTAAAAAAAAAAAAAAATGCTAAAAAACGTGGCAAAACGCTAATGCAAAAACACTAAAAACGCTGAAAACTTTTTAACGTGACTTTACACAGCTAATGTTACCAGTGTTATTAAAAGCCTAGTGTGCATGTGATCATGGATCATTAAAATCAGCAAAGCAGTGTGGGGTGCATAGCAGCATCATTCATTCACAGATCTCTGTGAATAACAATAAAGAAGTCTCATCTGCAAATGCGGCAGTAGTTTTTCAATGGACTACAAGTGCACAGATTAGTGCATTGACACATCTTCCAGCTTTTGAACGGAAAGCCTGTTCAGAGGTACAGGCAGAGTGCTGCAGGAAGTGTCTGCAGGAGCCTGACATAAAAGCAAGAAGACAAATCCTCTGAAAGACTACATTCATATTTGTGCGGTTATGCAAGCTGCAATTTGCACTGGCACTGCAGCCCATTTATCTGAATGGACTGCTGTGCCTTTTGCAACACAGGGGAAATGTCCATGAAGCATTTTACAAATCACAGCCCAAACAGGGACTGCAAGTGTAATGAGGTTCCCATTGTGGGAGCAATTTTCAATGTGTGCAGCATACAATTAGCATTAATGGCATCTGCACACAGCACCTGCCTTTTTCTGCAGGGGTGTTTGTGGCTGTGGGAACTGCAGAGGTAATCACCCACACAGGTGTAAACCTAGCCCAAATTTGTGAGCTATGTTGAAATGCATCAAATGCAGTGTTTAATCAGTGTGAAAACAAATTGCATTCAAAATCAGCTCCAGGGCTGTTGATCTTGCTACAAAGCATTCAAAAAGAAGGCTTCATAGCAACGCAATGCTTTTTTTATTTACAGGGTAAGATTCATAATGTCATCTGTGATGCTACTGGCACTTCTTGTGAGCTCCTAAAGGCATCTATAAAGTTTTTACCTTAACGCATTCTCTGAAAAAAACTTCTGCATGCAACGCTTCAAACTGCCCCACCACTCATACTTTAGCTGGATATCGATCCAGCAATGTGCATGAGAGCGGCGGCTCTCTCCTTCCTTCCTCATTCGCTCAGAGGCAGCAGTGGGTGCCATTGGTTGTTGCCGTTGTCTGTCATAGCCAGCGAGGAGGGAAAGGAAGAAGGGGCAGGGGTGCTAGCGGGGGGACCCGAGAAGAAAATTTAAAAAATTGAGCAGTTATAACAACTTTTAATAGGGAGAAGAGCCTAAAAGTTTTTTATGTTACAAAAAAAATCATTTTATAAGGTTATATGGCTTAGATAGGAGGCTTTGTCAGTTATATTCTAGGGTAACTATCTAGGGCTGCATGAATCCTGTGAATGCTGTACTGGAAAAAATTACACTAAAGGTGAAAGTGCACTAACAAATTAAAGCTCCATTTGTTCATCACAAAAGATATAGTATAGTCTACAGTAGCTAGAAGTATTACTGTAGGGATCAGAGACATTTGCATTACAAAGGACACAATCAGACATAATGGTGGGTAGGGTTAAGAAAACATACAATTCTCACACTTAGAACTTATAAAAACATAATACAAAAGCTGAAGGCAAGTGTACTTACAAAGTTTGCTGACAGATTGTGTTTGTAAAGCTGCAAGGTGGAATGAAGCAGGCCAGAGACCAGGCTGGATACCAGCACCTCCTTGCCTAGCTTATTATCTGTTGTCCTTCTCTGGCTACTGGCAACTTGTACAGACCACTTGTCTACGTCTGCGATAATGCAGACAGCCTCTGCAATGGGCTCATCCAAAACTGGATGCTACACAACGAGAGAATAAAACAGATCAGTGAGTAAATAATTTAAGGGACATCAATCATGATTAATTATATTTACTGTATTTGACATATGGATATGCCTGCATACCTGTACAGCATGTGACAGATCTGACATTAGGCACTGCCTCAATTTCTCCTCACTTGCTATTCCTTGCAGAACAAAGTCTGGTACGTAAAACGGACAGTAGCCTGCCAGTAAGGATCTTCCAAAGTTGGCGATGTTAGGCTTCACAGAATTGACTTCCACCAGCTTTGACCTAAATGAGGATCAGCATAGGGGAAATGCACTTAGAATGTAGTTTGTGGTATGTAGTTAATATTTTAAGGTGACACAAAACTCTGATTATTAAAAAAAAAAAAAAAAAAATTATTAACCCACTATTTAAGCATGTTTGTTTTCTTAACTTAAAAAGTACCTGCTATTGTTCCCAGCCTCCTCCAAATTGTTTTTTTTTTTGCGATTGTGATCCGACTTCCTATTACAGAATGGCTACATTCCTTTTTTCAAGGTGCCACCATATGTAGGAGCAAAGCTACACTTTCTTGTTTGCTCCATAGATGGACTAGGGACTATGGATTATAGTGTAGTATGCATAGAACAGTAGTAAAACTAAAGTGCGCTTCTTTTTCCAAACAAACAGGAGAATGGGGGAAACGTAGATGTTCGGGAGCTCACAGAGGACATTATAAAGGAGGCAGAAAAATACAGTAAGAAACAACTTCATGAAAAAATAGGTTAGAGGGCAATTAAGTAAAGAATATGTATAGATAATTTCTGGAAAAGAAGGCTATTGTTTAGTGTTGCTTTAATATGGCAGGGATGGTTGCATGTTACATTGATCTGTTTGATTAATTCTGCAATCCAAAGCTGTCTGAAACCAGAAAATTGCCCTGAATGAGTATAGAAGTACCCTGACCAATGAAAATACAGGCTGCCAGGCAAGTGGTTACCCATTATCAGTTACATAATGTCATGTTATCAGCTTGCTGACAAAACAAGAGCGGACAAATTACAAGCTTCAAAAAGGTACTGTAATGTAAAAAAAAAATGTACATATACCATTTCATTCAAAATTTTGTTTCAAGAACGCTCAATTTTCTATTTGTTAGTGTGGCCAAAACAATGCTCATTTTCAACCAGTGCCAACAAAATTTGAAGGCGAAGGATATATTTTTTTTTTTCCAACAAATTTCTAATAGTGTATATGGTTTTCGTTCCGAAAGGTCCATTAGTTGCAAAATCAAATATTCAAAGCAAAAACATTTTAAAGTAATTTTAAAGGACATTTGTCAAGTCATCAAATGTACTGAGAATTTTCATACACGTTTGTAAAAACATTAATTTGAAAATATGCTAGTGTATGACCTGTTTAAGGAACAGAACAATGTAGTAATAATATAATAAAAACACCAGATATGCTGTTTGTATATGTAAAACTTAAGCAGCTTCATGTAAAAACGGGAGTAAAGGAAAGTGGAAATGGCCATTCAAAATAAACAAAATCACAGGTTGTCTCATACATACTGTATTAGCCAAAGAGATAAAGATAGAACTACATGCATGCTAGGTGCAGATGTACATACCCTGGGAAAGAAATCTCCTCTTCTTCCATCCAGTCTACTTGTTCAGCCCCATAGTAGCCAATACTTGGTGCATGAAGCTCGTGACCCGTGTCCTCACTCTCGCTGTCACCAAGGGCACTATCTGAACTCTCGTTCCTCGGAATGTCCCAGTCAGTGCCCAGCACAACCTTATTCTCAGGTTTCTCTTTATCCCCATGGGGGACAGATACAGAGACTTTGTCTCTTTGGTCCTGTTCAGTACAGCAGTTTTTGCATAAGTTTGGAAGAACAGAGGTTTTTACATTACTAGGTGCTTTATCTGTTTCACACCGTCTTTGTGAGCACCCTGTATCCTTTTGTTTTGCCTCTGGAATATCATCAAGGATCTTTACCTCAATAGAACCATCTTCTGGAAAGTACTCATCAAACATGCTAATGTTCTCTTGATGAAAAGGATTCCAGTTTTGAAGCTTGCTTGCCACCCTGGAAAGCTTCTCACATGACACACTACTTTTTTGGTCCTCAGCATTCTGTTTCGCTACAGTGATAAAATCAGAAGCATTTGTCCTCTGTTCCTGCACCGGTTTCAGATGGTGCTTCTGAATCTGATCCACTACATTTTGGCTTTTTATCTCTATATCAGAGTCTGGTGACATAGAATCACCAATCTGAAACTTCACCTTGTTCAGAAGTTGACCAGCACCACAAGGCATTGCTGCAGTTGGGATCTTATCTGGAGGTTTTTTCTCTATACAGATTTCATTAGTTCTCATACCTTTTACTGCTAAACTTTCCTCTTGCAAGTTTTCATTTTCCACCACTTGAACTGATGGCTCCAGGCATCCAACTGCTAAGGGGCATTTCTCTACTGGAGCTGCCCGAATGTTAATGACAGTCTCAATTTTTGTTTCCGGGCAAGTTCTTGATTTGTCTTTGTAGACTTCAGTATAACCAGCTACTTCCTGGCTGGACACCTGGGTCAAAACCTGACTTCCATTCGTACTTGCCTCCAATGACTCTTTCACTGGCCTTGGAGGGTCCTCCTTTTCCTCTTGTGATTTCTTCTGGTCAGAAATGGGACACTGGCAGCAGCAACATTTATTTTCAGAGGCCCTTGTTTCATCTGAATCGTTGTTTATTAGGCAACCTTTATTCTTGTGCATTGTGATTAACACATAGTCTGACTCCTCCACTTCACCCTTCTGCAGCATTGTAGTGATCACTGTACCAGGCATTACAATGGCTTCATCCTCACCATTCTCCAGGAGGTGGGTCTCTTGAAGTTCTGAGCACCTTATAAAGTAGGTGAGGAAATAAAGTAGCCTTTGCACAAGATCTTGCCTTTTCCCAACGACAACTGTTCTTGCTAATCGCACTGGTGACCCAATAGCTCCATATAAATCTCCTACATAAAGATAATACAGACATAGTTAATTGCTCTAAAAGAAAAAACCATCATACAAACTATAGATTTGGCTAATGTTTATTTGATTGCTTCCCAACGGAAGGCCCTCTTTAGTGAGTAGTTGTATGTTATGTTTTGTTTTATATTCTTACAGTTTATGGAGAGTTGGTGCAAAAAAAAAAAAAGTTGACACAATGCAAATCAAAGCTTACAGTAACTACTGCTACCATTTCATCATTGCTTGTGCTTCTTTAATTTGGCAGAGTATGTTTAGTGAACTGATGGTATATCAGTATAAACTCTACTGTAAAAAAAAGAAAAGTAATATTCTTTAAAGTGGTTCTAAAGGCAGGTGTTTTTTTTTTTACCTTAATGTAGGTGTAGGCAACCTTAAAGATCACCAGGCAGTGTTGCCTCCTCACACTTGATTTAAACCTCTAATTGTTGTACTACCGTGTCACAATCGCGTACAGTGCACAGTAATCATGGGTTTAAATCAGGTGATGAGGAGGCAACATGTTGCCTCCTCACCACCTGTCAAACACACTGGGATCGCTTTGCAGAGGAGCAGCAGTGCCCACTGCACCTGTGAATCAGCCCTTAGTTTGGGGCTGTTGGGGGGTGCTAAAACCCTGTGGTTGAATCACGGTTTTACCACCCCCCCAATCCTTACCCCCTTTAGCTGCTGGGACAGCAGCCAAAAGGTGTACACATGCCATAGCAGGAATTACACCGTTGCTTTTGGTGGGTGCTACGGCCTGTCAACCAAGACCCATTGAGACCCAACAGATCCCTCAGCAAGTGCCCTGGAACTGCATGCTTGTGCAGGGTCCAGGGGCTTAAAGCAGGTGGTGAGAAAGCAACACACTGCTGCCTGTTTAACCCCTTGTTTGCTGTACTGCAAAAGGTTGCACAGCGGTCTCGTTCACTTGAATGGGTCATGATTGGCTGGTGCTACACTCACCAACCATGACAAGGTCTAGGAGCAGCACTACAGAGAAGTCAACTTATGGGGCTCTTACTGCCTATTACAGCTCCAACTTTACCAGTATTTCCTCTGCATTGCACTCTGATGCTCTGGGATGGAGTCTCAGCAAGCCCAGACCAAGATCTACCAGACACCTGGCCAAGATCTGCTGGTAGATCACAATTTATTGGTTGCTGACCCCCGCCTTCATGCATTCTCTGCATTCAGGTAAAAAAAAAAAAACCTTCTGCAAGCAGCTGTTTCCTCAGCCCCCCTTATACTTACCTGGGCCCTGATTTTGATCCCAGTCCAGCAATTTGCACAAGAGCAGAGGTTCTCTCAGCTCTCTCTATCCTCATGGACTCAGAGACAGCAGCAGGAGCCACTGACTCCAACAGTTGTGTTCAAAATAATAGCAGTGTGTTGAAAAAAGTGACTAAAGCTCAAAATCCTTCTAATAGCTTTTATTTCCATACACACAAATGCATTGGGAACACTACACATTCTATTCCAAATCAGAACATGAAGAAACATATATCAAATTTGTGTTGTTCCTCTAAAAAAAAATTGAAGAAAAGTGAATATTATACTGTTCAAAAAAATAGCAGTGTTTGTATTCTTCTTTACAAACTCAAACATTCACTATATAAACTGAAAATGTTTGAAGATTTTGCTTTCCTTTGAATCACTTAATTAATATTTAGTTGTATAAGCACTGTTTCTGAGAACTGCTGTACATCTGTGTTGTATGGAGTCAACCAACTTCTGGCACCTGTGAACAGGTATTCCAGCCCCAGGATGATTGGACTACATTCCACAGTTCTTCTGTATTTCTTGGTTTTGCCTCAGAAACTGCATTTTTGTCACCCCACAAGTTTTCTATTGGATTAAGATCCGGGGATTGGGCTGGCCACTCCATAATATCAATCTTGTTGGTCTGGAACCAAGATGTTGCCCGTTTACTGGTGTGTTTGGGATCATTGTCTTGTTGGAACATCCATTTCAAGGGCATTTCCTCTTCAGCATAAGGCAGCATGACCTCTTCAAGTATTCTGATGTATTCAACCTGATCCATGATCCCTGGTATGCGATAAATAGGCCCAACACCATAGTATGAGAAATTTCCCCATATCATGATGCTTGCGCAACCATGCTTCACTGTCTTCACAGTGTACTGTGGCTTGAATTCAGTGTTTGGGGGTCGTCTGACAAACTGTCTCCGGCCACTAGACCCAAAAAGAACAATCTTACTTTCATCAGTCCACAAAATGTTGCGCCATTTCTCTTTAGGCCAGTCAATGTGCTCTTTGGCAAATTGTAACCTCTTCAGCACGTCTTTTTTTCAACAGTGGGACTTTGCGGGGGCTTCTTGCAGATAGCTTGGCTTCACATAGGCGTCTTCTAATTGTAACAGTACTCACAGGTAACTTTAGACCTTCTTTGGCCATTTTGGCTATTCTTCTATCCATTCGAATGGTAGTTTTTTTTGCTTTCTTCCACGTCTTTCAGGTTTTGGTTGCCATTTTAAAGCATTTGCGATCATTTTAGCTCAGCAGCCTATCATATTCCGCACTTCTTTATACGTTTTCCCCTCTCCAATCAACTTTTTAATCAAGGTACGCTGTTCTTCTGAACAATGTCTGGAACGACCCATTTTCCTCAGAATTTCAGAGAGAAATCCACTGTAACCAGCATGTAAACATTTGATGCCTTCCTTCCTTAAATAAGGGCAATAATTGCCACCTGTTTTTCAAAGAATGAATGACCTCACTAATAGAACTCCACACTGCTATTATTTTGAACATGCCCCTTTCAATTAGTGATTCAATTACACAGAATCAGCAGCATGCATGTCATGACTGTTGGGTCTGTTGGATTTCTATTACACTACTACACCTGCTAGTAAATTATTTACCATGTAGAAATATAATTTCTACCAAAAACAGTGATTGATCAGGTTAGTGATGTCTGACTGCTATTATTTTGAACACAACTGTATATCTTACCTTACTTGCTTTAGTTTAAATGTCGTGTGGAAGCTGTGGTAATAGATAGTTAAAAATAGAACTACCAATTTTATTTAAGTATACTATTCTTTTCCTCTATACTGAAAAACCTCCAGTAGATGGCAGCATATCTAACCAAATCAATTTAACCATGCCACACCCAACAAAACTCCAAAACTGACAGCACAATCTCCAGCTCTCAGTTGCTCTCAGAAATAAGATCCCTGTGCTTGCAAGTTGTTATTTACTTGTGAATGTTATTTTTTAAAAAATCATATATATCTTTATTGCCGAAAACTGGAGCAATAAAAACTGAAGAAATGTGGTTTTCCTTCCAACAGCAACCAGACTTTCATTTCCATAAGAATGAAAAATTAGAGCTATACTATAAGACTCAAATTATGTAGACACCTCTCCAAATTACTCAGTTCATGGTTGAAGGCAAAGACATGTCAGCCAACTGGGTGCATTCAGCTCTGTGTGAAGAGCCTCATTTTTGTTCCAGCATGACTGTGTCCCTATGTACACAGCCAGGTCCACAGATGCATTTTTTGACCAGTTTGTTGTTGATGATCTTGAGTGGATTACACCTCAACTCTGCTGAATACATTTGGGATGATTTGGGATAAGCACTCATTACATGCCAGCTCCTCTCATCCATTCAGCCAAAAGATCATTTGTGATGTCAGATACTGCTGTTGGACAAAAATTCCTGCAGGCACTCCAAAATCTTGTGAAAAGCAATCCCAGTAGAGTGGGAGCTGTTACTGCCAAAAAGGAGGGGGGGGGGGGGGGGGACTCCTTATCAATGCCAAGAGCTTTAAAAATGGGACACCAACAAGCTTATATACAGAAATTGTAATGGTCAGGTGTCCACATACTTCTAGCCATATAGTGTTCGTTAGGATACTAATTATTGTATATACAGTAGCCATTTTGATACCAAGTGTCTGTTTATGTATCTGCATCATTTACATACATACATATACTTTTAAATTCCTGTACATGCCACTAGCAACTGTGGAAAGATTATTTTATGTTCTAGATTATATCCCATGGTGGATTTTTCAGTGGCGCTCGATTACTAAGCCTAAAGCTAAAGGGGGATGCAGAAGATCTCATCATTGGATGCAAAAGAGAAGCAACAGCAACAACGGCTTAGGACTCACCTAGCTGTGCCCAAAGAGGGTTGTATGGGTGGGTCTTTGCCAACATATTCACACTCTGTGATGAGTGCTTTTCTAGGAAGATTTTAATTGGTGGCTGTCCATTGGGCATGACTGTTGGTACCCAGGCAAGATGATTTGTGAGGACAGCTGTAAGGAGTGCTGGAAGGAACCTGAAAGAAGGGAAAATTCACAAACATCATCAAACCTCTTTTTTCTCTGAATACCCATTATAAATATGAAATACTAAAATATATCAAATTTGGGGTTGCTTACACACTCATACACAAGGGTGTTACATGAATAGCCCTGTGCTCAGTAGATTTATAAATCAAAATCAAATACCTGCCTTTTTTCTAAAACCACACTATACAAAAACTATAGCTGGAATTCTACTAGTTCCTGTGGCCAAAGCATACGCTTCCTACTGTGCAGATTTTTTATGTTATGACCAGTTAAACGCTTGATTTGAAACATGATTCGCATTTCCGGGTAGGGGCGTGCGTCAATCACCGAGTCCAGGCCGCTGATTGGTGAGGATCTCCAACGGGGGCAGAAGGGGGGGACTGTTAGTAAACAAAACAGTTCTCCTCCCTGTCAGCTCCTGAGCACTGCTTTGCATGGCTGTGCACAACACAGCCATGCAAAGCAAAGTGCTTACAGTGAAACACACACAGAACATAATGTAAAACGGCACACAGCTAACCCTTTGATCGCCACAGATGTTAACCCCTTCATGCAGTGTCAGTGCTTTTTATCAGCACTGACCACTCTATTGGTGTCACTGGGGATGTCAGTGACACCAAGTCAGTTCCCACCTGTGTCAGAATGCCCACCGCAGTCCCACTATAAGTTGCCAATTGCCACCATTACTAGTGAAAATTTAAACATTTTTTAAAAGCCCAGTATATATAGTCGCCATTTGTAAACGCTATAACTTTCACGTAAACCAATTAGTTTACACATAATGGGATTTTTTCGCTAGCAAAGACATGTATCAGAATACATTTTGGCCTAAGATGAAATTTGTTTTTAAAAATTTTTTACTGGACATGTTTAATAGAAAAAAGTCAAAAATATTTTTTTTTTTTCACAAAATGGTTGGTCTTTTTTTTCTTTTATAGTGCAAAAAAATAAAAAAAGCACAGGTCAAAAAATACCACCGAAAGAAAGCTCTATTCATGGGGAAAAAAGGACATAAATTTCATTTGGGTGCAGCGTTGCATGGCCGCGCAACGCAAAAAATGGTCTGGCCAGGAAGGGGGGGTAAATCCTCTGGGGGCAAGTGGCTAGCAGTATATACAGATTTTAATAGTGTTTTATTATTGTTTGCCTTACAGTGTGAACCCGTTTGTTTCCCCTAAAGGGTACAAATACAGCTGTTTCTGAGCTTGCCAACGGTATTTAGCAATGCAATCTGTGCACAATGAGTTAATATTTAAAGAAGAAACACCCCAGGGCTTTAATTTAGGAGTGCTAACAACAGGATTATGATCTGAAACTGCTATGCTAACTACTAGAAAAGCAGGGGAATATATGACATGCAATAAGCAAACAAAAGATAAATGTCAACACCAATTCAGCTAATCTAACATCTATAGATGAACTGCTGTTCAGTTTATCAATTGTTACAAGCATTTTTTATTTTATTCTTTAACCGCCTCCTTTGGTAGCAGAGTGACAAATCTAACCCAATCCAATTAAAGAGACAGCAAGTCCATACACAGGAACATTTCATTCCACCAAGAACTCTGTCTTTGTGATGAGCTGCGCTGGCAGGCAAAACCTGCTGAATCAGCAAACTGTTTAGACAACCAATAGAGGGGAAGAGGGGTAGAGCTGTAGTTTGTCTTGCCATCACATAGCCAGACCGGCCTACATAGAGATTTATATTAAAATGAATAAATGGTTAAAAAAATGCACTTGCAATCTTTTGGTAATAGATTCTTTAATTACTTTTGAAAACTTTCAAAAAGAAACCTCCATGCATGAGTGCAGAGAGAGAAGAATGTGACCGTGGAACTGAGACTTGGCACACAAAATCTCTCCTATTGTCACATGATTAGCTGGCCTGCCCTGCCTTGGCTCTACACTGGAAGATAATATGCTCTGTCTAAAAGCGTACACAGGATTTAGTAGCAAAAATAGGCAAGCTTGATTTATAGACTATTTTTTATGCCTGCTTATATCCAGGATGCCTGTCATTTAGGAATAAGAAAACAAATGGTGCAGAGAAAAAGTATTAATGGGTAAACATAACCGGATTTATTTTAAAGTGCATCTATACTCAGAACATTTTTTTTTTTAAAGATAGGGTGGGTATGGATTAGTACTTTTTCACTTCCTGTCTGGGAGAAAAGTTGGCACCAGTAAGTTAGGGAAAGAAAAAAATCCCTCTAGCAGGAATCATGGGAATGCTGAAACCCATTTTAGTTTTTACTGTTGCCTGTTATTGTCCCATATTGCTCCTGCTAAGAAAAGGTTGTCCCCAAAACAGAAAGTGAGGGTTCCCTCTATAGCAGTAAAATCCGACAGGGGTTCTAACCTTTCCCCATTTTATCCAAAACTACAAAGGTTTTGGGTATAGATACTCTTTAATATCCTAGCTGTTACTATATATAAATACAACAAACTCTAAACTTTCAGCTGATCTTGGAAGACATGATACGTTTGGACAATGGTATATACAATAGATGCCATATTTTAGCATCATATTCTATTTCATTTTTAATTATATTAACAATTACAAAATCCAGTAGAAGAGCAGAAGCAATATCTCCTTAATCCTAAACTCTGTACAGCTGGGAGTCTTAAGCGATCATTGAATTTGGATGGGAAGAATTCTGTAAAGGTAAACTTCCCATAAAACATCCATAATATTCAAATTTGGAGCAACATGCCTGTGGCAGCACAGTGGCTAAATGGTTAGCACTTCCGCCTGGCAGCACTCACTACCTGCCTGGAGTTTGCATGTTCTCCCTGTACCTGCGTGGGTTTTCTCTGGTTACTCTGATTTCCTCCCACACTTCAAAGACATGCTGGTAGAGCTCCTGTCTAGCAAATGTATAAATGTAAGTTCGGGACCTTAGATTGTACGCTCCTTGAGGGTTACGGACTGATGTGAATGTATAAAATATATATATATATATATATGTAAAGTGCTGTGTAAATTGATGGGGCTATATACAGTAAGTACCTGTAAAAAATAAACAACAGCAACGTACCAAGTGCTGCAATCAGTCATAAAATCTACTCTACACAGTAGGAATACAATGCACTACTGAATGCTGCAATGTTATTGGTAATGGTGTCTTAGTGCACATACGAGCTCTATGCATTATGTCATTTAAATAATTGCAAATCTTTTACCCCCATCACTATTTGGCTATTTAGACTGGGCTCCTCATGCAGGTCACAGTGTAGATTAACCACTAGCCTACAGGGCACTTATACCCCCTTCCTGCCCAGGCCAATTTCCAGCGCTGTCACATTTTGAATGACAATTGCGCAGTCATGCAACACTGTACCTATATGAAATTTTTATTTTTTTGAGACAGATGGAGCTTTCTTTTGGTGATATTTAATCACCTCTGGGATTTTTATTTTTTCTAAAACAAACCAAAAACCACTGAAAAAAGTTTGAAAAAAAAAAAAACGTTTTTTCTTAGTTTTTGTTATACAATTTTGTAAATAAGTGATTTTTCTCCTTCACTGATGTGCACTAATGAGGCTGTAGTGATGGGCACTGATAGGTGGCACTGATGAGGAGGCACTGGTAGGTTGCACTGATGGGCATTGACAGGCATCACTGATGGGCACTGAAAGGCAGCACTGATACATGATACTGATAGGCGGCACTGACTGGCACTTTTAGGCAGCACTGACTGGCACTGATGGGTGACATTGAAAGGCAGCTCAGGCAGCTCAAGTGGCATTGATGTGCACTGGTATGCACGGATATGTGGCATTGATGTGGCACTGATGAGCACTGATGGACACTGACAGGTGGCACTTCTGGGGCACACTGATCATCAGTGTACATGTCCCCTCTGCAGAAAGCCGATTACCGGCTCTCCTCTCACATGATCACATGACCGAGCTGACATCTTCGGCTCTTTCCGTGATCCGCTGTGTCCGAGGGACACAGCGCACCGGCGATCGCCGCACTGCGCGCTCCCTGAGCCACGCATGCGCAGTGAGAATGGAAGGACGTCATATCAGAACGAGAGAACCACCTTGCACCCGTCATTGTATTATATGGCGGGTGGGAGGTGGTTAAAATACTCTAGACTTTAGCTATTTACCACGTGGCATACTTGTAAAACCTTTAGAGCTGGAGCTCTTCCCATATCTAAAAAGAGCTACCAAACCTAATTAAAAACAGTTTACTTCTATTTCATTTTGTACCCTTAGTCTTAACCTCCCAAGTAAGGAACGAGACAATTGATCAACCTCAGCTAAACACCAATTCATGACTAGGTTAGTAGTACAGAAAGTTAAGCTGCCCATACATTAGTTAGTTTTTTGGGGGTTTTTTTGTTCAACCAGACGAAATCCTTCTGCTGAGCTATTGTATTCTGACAGTGGGGAGACTTTCCTACCTTTTGAATACATTATTCAGTGCTGTAACCTACACTGTGTGCACAATTATTAGGTAAGTATTTTGACCAAATCATCATATTGTCCAACTCCAAGCTGTATAAACTTGAAAGCTTATTGGATTTAAGCATATCAGGTGAAGTGTATTTGTGTATCGAGGGAAGATGTGGCCTAAGGAGATCAACACCCTATATATAGGTGTGCATGATTATAAGGCAGCTTCTTTTTTTCAGGCAAAACTCCCAAACCTACTGCCAGTTTTTAGAAGACACTCTTTTCAAACAGTGGTACAGGAAAAGGTCTACATCTTTCAAGAAGACCATGAAATTTATGCAGGACAATGCTCCATCGCATGCACCAAAGCACTGTGAGGCTAACCAGTAAAGGCCTTAAAAATGAAAAAATGACGACACGGCTCCCTTCCTCACCTGACCTAAACTCTATTGAGAACTTGTGGGCCCTTCTTAAACGGGAGATTTACGATTTGTCTGGGTGGCTGTGGTTGCTGCTGCACAAAAATTTGATCGTCAACAGATAAGAAACTGTTATTGAAAAGAAGGGTGGCTATATTGGTCACTGATTTTTTATTTTTAAATGTCAGAAATGTTTATTTGTAAAATGTTGGTTTGTTTATTATTCTCATTTTAACAGATGAAAATAAACAAGAAAGATAGGAACATTTTCGTTTTTCATTTAGTTGCATAATAATTCTGCACACCAAAAGCTGCCCAATAATTGTGCACACAGATATTCTCTTGAGAAAGCCAAAACCTCACTTTTACTTTCTTCAATAATCAGGTTTGAAGTTTATTAACATTTTTGATTGACCAAGATCACTATAGTTGTTCAATAATGAAATGAATCCTCAAAAATACAACTTGCATAATAATTGTGCACACAGCACTGAACACGTTCTGTTCAACCAAAGAGTCCCTGCTGAACTGGCTGAATTTTGATCCATGTATGGCAGTCTTAAAAGAAAAGGACAAACGGGATCATCAGGCGATAAGTTCTCTTTAAGCCTTGGTTCACACTGATGCGGTACGGGAAACGCTGCGGTTCCTGTGTGTTTCCTGCACTGCAAGCAATCGCACAGTGTTCATGCAATCTGTGTGGGTGTCAATGTTAAGTTAATGACACCCCACAAGCAGGTCACAAAACGCAATGCATTTATCTGAATCGGATTGCATGACTATGAACACCCATGTGATCCAATTCCAGTGCAAAAAAAAAAGGGTGCATGTGGTGCGATATGAGCCATACAAAATTAAATGGGCTTAAATTGGACCAACCAGTATTGCATGCAATTTGCACAGGAATGCGGCGCGATTCCTGTGCTAATCACATGTGGTTCCACAGTGTGAACCAGGGCTTAAAGAACTACAAACAAGCAAAGTAAATACTCATCTTTCCTGCAGCTTGCCAGCTACTGCCTCTGATTACTAGATTACATGGATGGGGTCTAGGAACCTAGTAGTAGCCTGCACCTCCAGCAGCTGCATTCCAGCCACACAGCACTGTAGAATGTGCATTGCCAGAGCTGTAACAATGAATTGCAAAACGTACTGATTTTTTGAAGTGTATTCCATGAGGAAAGCAAACTCTTTCATAAATCGCTGACAAAGGTGATTTTTCTCTGGTGATCCAGACATCATTGTTAGCCAGACAGGTTCAGATATTCTGGGCATAGTGTACAAATTACAGATCGTAGTCCTGTATATGGTAAAAACACAAAAAAAAGAAGAAATTCTTTGCTATTTGAATACAAAAGAATAGTATAGTAACAACTATGTAAATAATTAATTATACAAGATAATAAACTCAAACAGCCACAAACAATTTTTACTATAGGAATTTGCAACTTGGAATTCACGTGAATTAAGGGATTCTTCAAGAGTAGCTAAATCCAAGAAAAAAAAATATTATATACTGCAGCTTACCAGTTCCTATGGACTGGTAAGCTGCAGTATATTAGATTGTTTTTCTTAGGGTTAACTACTCTTGAAAATAAATAAAAGCCTAAAAAAAAGAAAAACTAAAACGCAACTACCTCATTTAGATTTTTCTTTTTTTAGGCTTTTATTTATCCTGGTGATCCAGCCAGAAACACACTTCCTGGCTCAGGGTGTCTCCATTCTGGGGAGAGGACCAACGGAGACACCTTTGGACAACAGCATTGTCAGTCTGGGGAGAGGGTAGTGTTAAAGCCACCATACACCGTATATAAATCTGATTGTACAATCTAAAAAAAAAAAAAAACACAAAAAAAAAAACCAAAACAGACTTGCTGGCTGGATGGATGAAGAGAAAGGATAAAAGCCTTAAAAAGAAAACTAATGCTGCCATCATATCGAAGGATTGGTACTTAACAATATAATCATTTTTGGGAGCTTAGATACACTAAGTTAGCCAAAGGTATCACCTAAAGTTGAACTATGGTGTTCAAATGAAAAATTGCTATCAGAAAGCATTTTATTTCAGAAGAGACTCATCTGCAATAAAAGCATCTTACCTGGTTGACAGAAATATTTCTTCTGAATGTACACTAAGCCATACATGCACAAACCCCATACTTTATTAATTGATGGCTAAAGCAGTACAAAATTCTTATGCAAGTTCCAACATTCTGACTGCTGCTAACCTGAGCACTGAGGTCTGACCATCCAAGTCCTTCATAATAGAGAAGGTAGGGGTGGGGTGAACGGTGTCCCTCTGTGCTCAATAAGCAGCATCAGACTTACTTCAGGTCATCCGGGACCCTCAAACTGTGTCTGATCCCACCCTCAACTACATCCCATTAACAGACAGAAGAGAGGAGGAGATTTATTGCACCATGTCACATCTGGACTTTATTTCTTATAACACGCTGAAAAGGAGAAATTGACACATGTAGGGAAATAAATGTCAATGTTTCCAGGTTTTTCTGCAAACATTAGCTTGTTTTTAACATAAAGCATTATAGATTTTCGCAAATTATATTGGAATCATGCCCTTTGTATATTGGCTATTATAAGTATTATTCTCCTTTGCATCTATTCAGATTTATACGATTCATCAAAGAACTTAAAAGTAAAACTATAGCATTTTTTTCCCCATTTTGCGCAATGTGCAGAACACCTGCCAGTTTTTTTTTTTCACCATCTGTGTCCCATTGGGGAGATTTCCCTTCGCTTCCTGTCCCATAGCCAAAATAGGAAGAGGAAATCCCTGCAAATTAATGGAATTCCTTGTGCCCCCCCAGGTCACCAGTACTAGTGTTCACATTGCAATATATTCCCTGTATTACTGTTCTGGGGACAACCCAAAATTTGGGATTTTCTTTTATTTTCACTTTTGATAATGGTAAACAGAACGAATAGGGAGGGTGAATTTCCCTAATGGGGGAACAGACAGCAATAAAATCCAGATAGGTGTTCTAATCCATCTTCACTCCAAAAAGAAAACAAAGTTTTTCCTTTACACTTTAAATATTGGTTCCTGGAAGAGCAAATTAAATCAATATTGATTATTACAATAAGTGGTTAAACAGCAGGTTGGAGCTCCAGCATGATAAGACTTGTACATGAAGTACATGTTAATAGTGCTAAGGTGGAAGGAAAACAGACTGGGAGATGTGTGGATTGAGGAAAAGTTTTCCATGACACACACACTCTTTTCGAGCACTTCCTGGTATCATTCCAAGTAAGAGGATATAGTAAGCTCTGGCCAGGCATTTATAGTATGTGCACTGGAAAAGTACTCTCAACTGATGACACAAATATGCAATTACAAACCATTTTACTCAACAATACAGCTCCATTCATACTATACCAGCTCTTTATAACACGCAGAACTGCCCATATTTTCAAGCGTACATACATAAAATGTGAAAAAAAATGCTTGACAATTTGGCGGAGTCATACATTGTTAACAGCACGTCAAACTCTTGCTATTCTAGACAAAAGCGCAGAATGAGTAAAGCCCAAAAAAGGTACATGAGCGTCCTTTGACATGTTTGTCATGTAAAGGGTAGTCCATTGAAATGAAGGAGCTGTCCTACTCATGAGGCGTGGCAACACTCCAAAAACAAACACATATTCTTGACACTATTTCACAATGCACTACTGTGAATGTGGCCTACCAAGAAATTTCTTGTATGTGTATATCCCTGTACTCTGTAGAGGGGCCTTGGTGATCAGTTCCAACAAGAGCTATGTATAAATGTGTTGGCCAGACACAGAAAACTTCAATATGCTCCCCTTCTACAAATATTTAAAATAATGGGCCAATGTATTGTGTTCTGTAACAAAAGAATACAAATTATATAATATAAATACTGTTACAAGCCTTTAGGCCTTTTGGAAATATTAAAGCTGACTAAAACACTGCCAATTTGTTAAATTTCACAAAAACAAAATCCCAATATTGCAGGAAGAGATACTCCAATGGGAAAAATGCAAACTGCATTAACATTTTGTTATTACAAAGGTTAATTGTTATTTTTACATAGATAGAGCTCACGCGCCACCCATATAACAATGTAAAACCATCTGCAATTTAAGTAGAGACTTAGAAATGACAGCTGCACATACTACTTTAATGGTTTTTTTTTGTTTTCTTTTTTTTTTTTTTAAGCCACAATGTTTTTAAGTGGGAAAAAAAAAACAATATAAAACATAATTACTAAAACACTTCCTTGCATTTTTTTTAATACAATCCTATATGGTTTATAATTACAAAATTAAACAAATGCTTTATGTAAACCAGCTACTTGTGAAATCCATTACTCTAGAAGTTGTTAAAATGTGTTTGCATGGAGCAAATAGACCAAAGTCTTGTGATACATTATTTACTATTCTGGTAACCCTGGCTGAATCTGCTGCTGATAGTGTTGCCTCCAAGATAGATCAGATTGCACTGGCTGCTGTTCAGCAGACATGTGACTGCAATAAAGGGAACCCTCCATAGCAGAAATGAGCATATTAATGGCTCACAGACCAAGGGCACAGCATAGACAGTGTACACAGCTCACACCCTCTTCCCCCTTGATACAGACATAAATTACCAGCTTGCCTGTTATACATGAACTAAGTATACATTTTTTTATTTGAATTGTCATTTTAGATGGACTTACTAATCACTGCTGCTAAATTATAATTATTTTATTTATTACAGGTACTTCTATAGTGCCAAGTTGTACAGCACTTTACATATATATTGTACATTCACATCAGTCCCTAACCCTCAAGGGGTGTACAATCTAAGGTCCCTAACTTCACATTCATACATACACATACTAGGGCCAATTTAGACAGGAACCAATTAACCTTCCAGCATGTCTTTGGAGTTGTAAACTGTTTTTTTTTTTAATTTAAACTGTTTTCTGTGGGAATCATACTGAACAATTCATAAGCTTAAAAAAAAAAAAAAAAAAAAAAGGAAGGAATCACAGAAAATAAAACGCTGGCCACATATTAATATCAGCCTTAAAAGATGTAGTCCAGCTCAGCTTTTCTTAAAGAGAAGTATGGGTTTGGGGAAAAAAAAAAAAAAAAAAAATTATATATATATACAGTTGCAAGAAAAAGTATGTGAACCCCTTGGGATTACGTGGAGTTTTGCATGAATTGGGCATAAAATGTGCTCTGAACGTCATCTAAGTCACAACAATAGAAGAACACAGTCTGCTGAACATAATACTACACAAACATTAGATGTTGCCATGGTTTTTAATTGCACATAACATGTAAACATTCACAGTGGCGCAGCACGCTGTCTTCCCGGCTTCTGTAGTGTCGGCGCTGGGCTTGACAGCCGGGTTCCAAGTGCGCATGGGCAAGAAGCGGTGCTTTTTGTGAATGTTAAGGCGGTACTTGGGACACATGACAGATCCCAGAAGCCGCCGGACCAATCACAAAGCACAAGTGCTTCTCGCTCATGCGCACTGGGCACCCGGCTGTCATGCCGAGCGCCGACACTACAGAAGCCGGGAGGACAGCGCGCGGCTGGATAGAGGAACAGGTAAGATCAAAGTACAACTCCGTGGAAGTAAGAGCGGGTACCTGTCAAATTCAGTACCCGCTCCCCACCTCTCCAAAGGTCAGCAGACAGTGCTTCTTGAAACCAGTAAATCCAAAACAGGTGTGTGTTTTTTAAAGGCAGGTCAGCTGTCAGCAACACATCCCCCCCTCCCCAAAGGTCAGCAGTCATCTCCTGTGCTGTCCGCAGTCTCTGGTCATCCCTGTGCTGTCCGCAGTCTCTGGTCATCTCCTGTACTATGTCTGCAGTCCATTAGTTCAGAATTTTTTTTTTCCTGTTTTCTGCCTCTAAAACCTAGGTGCGTCTTATGGAGCGAAAAATATGGTATTTCTTTCCTTGCCATAGTTATACATTTCATTATAACTACTGAAAAGAACGGTCATACAGAGCAGCCCTGGGTTTTAAATATGCTATGTCATGTATTATTTTTGTCTTCAGGAGCTTATAAACCATTGCACCAGCGATCAGCAGATCGCTGGTGCCATGTAGGTCTCCTGCAGATCAGTCAGTGTATCTGATTGCTCTTATGGGATGTATGAGCAAGCAGATATACAGTCATGCCGAAATTGTTGGCACCCTTGATATTTTTCCTGAAAATCAAGTATTTCACACAAAAAAGGTATTGCATTAACACATGTTTTGCTATACACATGTTTATTCCCTTTGTATGTATTGGAACAAATATAAAACAGAGGCAGAAAAGCAAATATGACATAATGTCACACAAAACCCAAAAATGGGCTGGACAAAAGTATTGGCACCCTTAACTTAATATTTGGTTGCACACCCTTGGAAAACATAACTGAAATCAGTCGCTTCCTATAACCATCAATAAGCTTCTGACACCTCTCACCCGGAATTTTGGACCACTCTTCCTTTGCAAACAGCTCCAGGTCTCTCTTATTGGAAGGACACCTTTTCCCAACAGCAATTTTAAGATCTCTCCACAGGTGTTCAATGGGATTTAGATCTGGGCTCATTGCTGGCCACTTCAGAACTCTCCAGCGCTTCTTTGCCATCCATTTCTGAGTGCTTTTTGACGTATGTTTGGGGTCATTGTCCTGCTGGAAGACCCAGGATCTTGGACGCAAACCCAGCTTTCTGACACTGGGCCCTACAGTGCGACCCAAAATCCTTTGGTAATCCTCAGATTTCATGATGCCTTGCACACAGTCAAGGCACCCAGTGCCAGAGGCAGCAAAACAACCCCAAAACATCATTGAACCTCCACCATATTTTACCGTAGGTACTGTGTTTTGTTCTTTGTAGGCCTCATTCCGTTTTCGGTAAACAGTAGAATGATGTGCTTTACCGAAAAGCTCTATCTTGGTCTCATCTGTCCACAAGACGTTTTCCCAGAAGGCTTTTGGCTTACTCAAGTACATTTTGGCAAACTGTAGTCTTGCTTTTTTATGTCTCTGTGTCAGCAGTGGGGTCCTCCTGGGTCTCCTGCCATAGCGTTTCATTTCATTTAAATGTCGACGGATAGTTCGCGCTGACACTGATGCTCCCTGAGCCTGCAGGACAGCTTGAATGTCTTTGGAACATGTTTGGGGCTGCTTATCCACCATCCGGACTATTCTGCGTTGCAATCTTTCATCAATTTTCCTCATCCGTCCACGACCAGGGAGATTAGCTACAGTGCCATGGGTTGCAAACTTCTTGATAATGTTGCGCACTGTGGACAAAGGCAAATCTAGTTCTCTGGAGATGGACTTGTAACCTTGAGAGATTGTTGATATTTTGCCACAATTTTGGTTCTCAGGTCCTCAGACAGTTCTCGTCTCCTCTTTCTGTTGTCCATGCTTAGTGTGGCACAGACAGACACACAATGCAAAGGTTAAGTGAACGTCTCTCTTTTTTGTATCTGCTTTCAGGTGTGATTTCTATATTGCCCACACCTGTTACTTGCCCCAGGTGAGTTTACAGGAGCAGCTTGTAACATTCTTATTTATCCGCAGTTGTGAAAGGGTGCCAATACTTTTGTCCAGCCCATTTTTGGAGGTTTGTGTGACATTATGTCGAATTTGCTTTCTTTCCTCCCTTTTTTTTGTTTTGTCCAATACACACAAAGGGAATAAACATGTGTATAGCAAAACATGTGTTAATGCAATACGTTTCGTGAGAAATACATGATTTCCTGGAGAAATATCAAGGGTGCCAACAATTTCGGCCATGACTGTACTTACAGGAAGAATAAATTAATTACCACAGCACTTCACAGCGCTGTGGTAGTTCACTGAGGACTACAAGCTGATAGCCGGATAGTCGAAACTTGTAATCTCTCATTCACAGATGACTGTGAATGAGTGACAGGGCAATGTGGGCGGAGCCCCAAATAGCCAATTTATTTTTAAAACAATTTGACAGCTAGCGAGCTAGAAGATTCCCCGCTAGCTGTCAAAGTGGGGATGGGGGGGAATGGGGGCTGGTCTATTTGTAACATGTTACACCCTGAATATGGGTGTAACATGTAACGTTATGAAACGTGAACTTATCCTTTAAAGTGTATATAATGTAGAACACTCAACACACCACACCCACATTGTACATAAAACCTGCACTGATCCAAAACCATAAATATGTATACGCTTTCACATCACCCTCGTTTATTGTAGAAGAAATGATAATAATAAAAACATGGACAGCTTAAGGTACTACTCAAGCCAAAACTGTTTTTATTTTGTATTTTATTTTATTTTTTTTTACTGCATGGAGTAAGAAAGGACTAAAATATATACATGCAAAAAAATAAATAAAAAATAACTCAAGTTGGATTAAACCCCTTCATGGCCACTCAATACCTTTTAAGTCCACATAAAAAATGTCCCATGTCATGAAAACGTCATTTTACCATACAACAGAAGACGTGGACTGCACAGTTGTGTGTTCCTAGTTTTCAGGCCCAATGTCAAATAGAAAAAATTAATGCAGATCATACAAGTTGAATTTTGGATAGTTCCTGATGAAGCAGCTTAAATTCGCTATGTGGGTGGCTCCTCCTACGTCAGCACCATCCCACATGACATCCACAATTTAAAAACTGAAGGAGCCAGAAGGAAAACCTTCAGCTGAACAGAGGCAGGCGGCACCTGTTAGAATACAATAGACACAGTGGGAGATTCATCCATCTGTGCTGTAGCATGGAAAGAGAAACCTGCTACATTTTTATTTTCGTTCAGCCCGCAGGCTGAACAAAAGAAAAATATAACAGTGTATTGCCAGATTTACTGTCAAGTTTACAGATGAATATTCACACTCCTAAACTTGGTCTAGGAATATAAGCTCCAAAAAATTCTGGTCACCAAGAGGGTTTAGTACTGATATAAAGGAAATCTGGCACAAATTAATTCAATCACTTTGATAATAAATGAATGCACTGTTGCTGGTCATTCCCTTATACATCACTGTTCCATCCTGTACTTTGGTATATCGCCACTGCATCTCCAGGTATACCAAAGTAAATATCACACCATTCTGTTGTCCATTAATGTTTTAACCCTTTTATATGGTGTACATCAATCTGACGCTAATACCAAGACTGGCATGTCAGTCTTTGAGGTTGGTATACATACAAAATTTAAATCATTCCATTAGACTGCTTAATGGTCCTCAGTTATCACCAGGCCTTTGACAGACTGGCTTTATGTGATGAGTAAGGAGTCTGTAAACTACTGGATATGGAGCATAACTTGCTATGTCTGCTACGCACAGGTGTTCAATCTCATTTAGCGAATGCTTTGGGTTTTCTAATCTATTTGGCCTATGTCTACTTCAGCTGATTATTTTTAGCAGAGCTAATTATTTTAATCAGTGGATGGTAACAGTGACAGACCCAGCCACATACCAAGAGCCAAAGTCACGTCAAAATGGGGCACCTGCCCTACACTAAGATTAGGGCAAAGAAGCTTCACCACCCATAAAATTAGCTTCTTTTACTCTTCACTTAAAGAAGATGTAAACCCTAACTAGCTTACAGCTTGTCAAAGAACTGTGTATCAAACTATTTACATTTGCAAAAACTTGTTTTTATCTTTAGCTACTGCTCGGTGCCATTGATCATCTGTAGCCTCCTTGCAGTCACTTCCTGTCTACATGCACTCCAGCAGTGGCTGCATGTCAATAGTTAGGGTAGATTTTCTAAAGGAGACAACAGTGGACAATGTCTACACAAGGTTTGTTTAAAAAGCCACCTGTAGTCTCCTTTGAAAAGCTGTGTGACAAGTGACATCACAAGAGCACAACTGGGGGACAGGGCTGAGCATAATCCACTTATAAAGAGAGGTGTCTGAACAAGGACCTTCCTGGCAGGACACCGTGTACTTTTTAATGAAAGTTCCAGTTTTAAAGATATTGAAAATTACTTTTGAATTTGCATCCACGTGTTAAAAATGTTCCTTTTTTATTTTTAGTAATTGGGTTTACATATGGTTGAAGTAAATAGTGAGGTTTTACATCATATCCAGACAGCATCTGTAATTTTTTTTTGCATAGTTTAGAAAACTAAAAGCACCATTTAACTGACTCACGTAGTCTAAACAATTTTCTTCAGTCTTTCCAAGATTAATATAAGATTCAATATGTTCAAATGAAATGGAATACAGTTTAAACATGTAGACTTTAAAGTGGTAGTAAACAAAACAAAAACAAGGAAAAAATTTGGGTCTCTGCACGATGTCATAATGTGCTGTATATATCGCATACTAGCACGATAGACTTGCCTTAAAACGAAGCCCTCCAGTGGTGTACTGTCATCGCTGACAGGGCTTCCATCTTCACCCAGTCTTCCTTCCAGGTTCACGAGCTTTGGCAGTTTGGATGGATGGGCCGCGATGACGTCACTCACACACAAGCCCACGAGAGTCATAACCACGGCACAGAGCTCTGAATGGACAGCATGTCCACTCAGAGCAGTGTGTATGCTCAGTGATGTCACAAGCTGCTACTAAAGTAAATATCTCCTAAACTGTGCATGTTTAGGAAATATTTATTGTATGTAAAAAATAAATGGGCTGAAGTCGCACTGTCCAGAACTACGTGTAAATCGCACAGAAATGCACATGCAGTTTCTGGTGTGAACTGACACGAAGGGCTTCTAAGGTTATTGTCTGCTTACAGTTGCCTGATTATTTTGTAGGTAGTGCACTCATACACCTCGTGAGTGGCAGGGCTCAGTTCCTGATAAACAACATGTGATGTGATCTGTGCTAAGGTAAGAAGCAGAATTCCGGGCATCTACCTATCTCCT